TGCCAAGTGAGGTTCTAGGCTTAGCCTCATGCCATTCCCCTGAAACTCGAAAATTCGCAGGTACGTCACTGGACGTCTCCAGCGATATCAGTACCGCCACAGAAGCCTCTTCGTTGGACTGTCACTTCTGTGGGGTAGACAGTCCCCCTGCTGAAAAGGAAACAAAACAATCCAGTTGGATCCCTGTGACTACAAGGGTTACACACACACGCCTCCCCGAGGGGAGGCGTAAAACTAAGGTGAGGGCAAATGTGCACGTGTGCGCGCACAAGAGACAAAAGAATGAAGACATGACAGGAGGACGAGACGGGACAAAGGTGCGTGTGGTTGAAATGAAAGGGAAACCAAGTGCACAGGGACACCCGATGAAGCCCACCTCATTGTAAAGACCTGGGCGACCTGAAACCTGTGTTTAAAGGTATGTAGAAGTGCACGTACACACTAAGGCCGGGACCAATGTGCACGCAAACGAAGAAAAGGATGAGATGAACAGACATGAAGACAGAAGGACATGAAAGAAAAGCGGAAACAAAAGTGTGTGAAGGGGAAGGGATGAAAGGGGAACCAAATGGAGGGGACGAGAACCGATGAAACCAAACCTCATTAGAAGTACCTAGGGACCTGCCTCGTTTGAATGTAAGCGCTGTGTGCGCACCTGAAATTGTAAACAGGTTCCAATGAACCTTGAACAAACTTCGGTCGCTGCGACCACGTACGGCTTGCCCGAGGGCTGCCACCTCTGACCGCTGCGGTCACGTAAAGGCATAAGCCAACTTGGAATTCCAAAGATGAGACAAAAATCATCGTGCGTTCGGCCTAGGCCACCTGCTGTCCGCTCCGGACACTTACATCTCCAAAGCAAGGGAGATAACGACAAACCCCCGTCCGGGTTGGCGCGAGGCCAAACACACTTATGGATATGCATACGGAACGGAAAGCGGTGCCACACGCCGGCCTAGGGTTCCAATTCCTAAGGGTACACGTACGAACCACTGGATCCTGGAGGTCTTCAAGAGGAACGGAGGCCAAAGTCTCAAGGCGACGACGAAGCGATGAAGCGACAGAGTGACGACGGTCGTACTTGTCTGCCAAGTGAGGTTCTAGGCTTAGCCTCATGCCATTCCCCTGAAACTAGGTACGTCACTGGACGTCTCCAGTGATATCAGTACCGCCACAGAAGCCTCTTCGTTTTGACTGTCACTTCTGTGGGGTAGACAGTCCCCCTGCTGAAAAGGAAACAAAACAATCCAGTTGGATCCCTGTGACTACAAGGGTTACACACACACATCAAGAATGAAGAATTTGGATGCTTCCAGGGGGCAACTGGCCACCCACCAAGGGCTCAATTGATTTGTCAACCTTGCCCCTTTCTCAAAAGACAACCACCTCTTAGTCGTGTTTGGTGTATCAAGCTTCACCACCTCCTTACAAGATCCCGAAATCGCTTGACTTTGCCACAAGAAAACCATCAACCAAACAAACCCAACACTTCCACTGCCTAGTTTGACACCGGTCCCAATTTCTTTCTCCTCACCCACCAAGCCATAGCAGGACTTCCCACGCCGAGAAGCCCAAAAGACCAGCGCGGAGCAGATCAGCCAACTCCGGGGCGGATGAAAGACCTGGAAAACGACCGACCGTCGTCCGAGTTCGCCAAAACCGTCGTCGTTTGCCAGAACCAAGCCCAGACCGGTAGACCGCGCGGATTGCGGAGGTTTCGTGGAGGTAGTGTTGCAGGTTTGGAGGACAAATGTCTTGAAGCCCCTGGATCTTAAAGTGAGTCTTCCCATGAGAGGGAACCGTTTCCCATCGCAGCAAAATGTTTTGGGAACACCAGCAAGAACAGGGGGTTCTCATTCGCTGACATGAACTCGCTATAATTACCAGCTGCTTTGCATTACTAGGCCTAAGTCCTCTCTTTGCACAGCCTACTCCTCCCTTTGTACAGAACCTACTCAGCAAGTAGTAGATGAGTAAACATAGGTCATATGTCACTTGGTCCCGGCACTGCAGAAGACCCTGACCGAACAGTGATGAAAAAGCAGAGATCCTCTGATCCTCAGCTGCTTTTCTCAGTGGCGCCCGACCATTGCCATCTTTTCACCATGGACGGTCCGCAAGAGTCGCGCGAAAAGCAAAATTTGTCGACGTCGACTTGTTACGTCACCGCCCCCACAACTCTCTTCTTGTTGGAGGCCATCGCTATCAGGTTGGAGGCCATTGTGTTTAGGTTGTCCCGTCGGTTTGTGCCCAACGAGTTGCTCCTCGGTTTGGCCGCCACGGTCAGAGAAAGGTGGGATGCGCCGGGTTACGTTGGGGTCAATTTGAAGGAGGGCTTCCCTCCATCTACTGGAGGTTGAAGCCGGAAATGTTGATAAACATGAGCTGATTCCTTGATACCAAGGTGGTTCTTGCTCTTAGTCTTAAAAGAATTAGAAATTGCCATGCTCAACTCCTACCATGCCCATCCACACAGTCCATCACTGCACCAAGTCTGGGAGACTTTTTCTTTTGCCCTAGTAAAAACCGCTCTGAGTCCCAGTTCAGCATCCACTCTTCAAACCGGGTGACCGGGTGGACACCGGGTGAACCGACCTTCCTGCTGTGCTTGCCTCTGCACACGACGATGCCATCGGTGGAGATCCCACCGGAGATCCCCGCAACATCCGCGCGCAGGGGCGGCGTTCGGCGCCCCGTGGAGTCTGGTGTCTGCTTCGGTTCGCCGTTTGGACCCTAAAAATTCGGAGCCATGGAGAAAGTGTGTGTGATGCTGGTGGAGTGGGGAATCTGCAGAATCTGAAGGGTAAAAATGAGCTAGGAAGATGTCAAGGTTTCATCTAAGGAAAGTGAACGGAACTATATAGTGGTTGTTCAACATCCATCCAAGGAATGGCCGTGTATACACCGTTCGTATTAACCCAAGATCCTCCACAAGTCTCTCTAGAATCCAAAGGATGTTCTTCAAGACAGTGGCTTACGAGGGATGGCGCCTCACCTGCGCACACAAGATTCGCCTCACCTGCGCACACAGCCTTTTTTTATACATTTAACTCACCTGCGCACACAGGGTTCGCCTCAGCTGCGCACACATCGATTACATTCTTCTTTAAACAGTGCATGTTACCTCAAACTCAGCTGCGCACACAGACTTTGCTCACCTGCGCACACACAAATTGAGTCATGATGATCTCTTTTTGCTCATTGCTTCCACAGTACCACGTCACACAGATGCTCTGCGTTTGATTGATGGTGTTGGGTTGGGATGGGAGGGTGGGGGGGTGGGGGGGTGGGGGGGTGTTAATACCTCTGGACATTCATCTACATGATGATCTCTTTTTGCTCATTGCTTCCACAGTACCACGTCGCACAGATGCTCTGCGTTTGATTCAGCCGAGCAAGCGGCGTGCACAGCCGACGAGCGCGTGCACAACCGAGTAAATCTATGCGCATGTACAGGCGAGGCAAATTCCGCGTGCACAGCCGAGGCTCCGCCCATGGGCTCTTCTAGAAGCCCATGGGGCTGGGCGGGGGATGGCTGCGGAGTCTGGAGTCACATGAAGATCTGCCCCGGTGAGTGAAAGGAAAGGGACCCACTCAACTGGAGACGCTTTGAAGGAATTCCTCATTTGGACGACAGACCTTCTTTGGACTTTGGACCATTCCTCATTGAACTGGCCTTTTAGCCGGAAAACGGCTGCGTTCGGTGCACGCGGTGCGCGGAGGCTTCCTTCACCAGTGGAGAATTGAAAGGCACGGCTGCACCGAATTGGGCGGTCGTTTTGTCTCAAAAAATTGATTTTATATAGCAGCATAGCAGGCAAGGAAATCAGTAATCTTGAGGCACCTCCAGGTGGCTATCAGCTCCGGCGGATCAGATCCACGGACTGAATGGAGAGATCCAGGGACCGCAGGACGGATGCAGAGATCCAAGTTGCAGCACTTCCAGTAATTCTTTCACTCTCCTTGACAAACCACCCAGACACGAGAAGACGGCTAGACTGGTGGATGTGGATCTCAAAACCCAGGCCCTGCTGCTCAAGATTGGAAACTACCCAAACTCGCCCTCACAGGCGCAGGCACCCAACCCCTCAACCTTTCTGAAGGTTAGACGTTTCAATTCGGACCCTGCCCCGGAGACGCCGCCAGATTCCACCGCCGCCTCCCCCTGCAAGGAGAACCTCGGGTTGCGAGGGGTCAAGCTCGGAGTCGGCGAGCGAGGTGGAGAGTCGTCGACTCCAATGCTTTTCCAAAGGCCAAAGAGGCGGGAAGGTCCCAGTGCTTTGGGTATTTTTCAAGTCGTCCCTTTGCGCAGAACTCTCAAGTCAGTCGTCTGCCCCCCTTGACCGGCCGCTGGGAAGCACGTCCAAGTCAGATCTAGCAGAGAAGAGCGATGCTTGGAAGATCCAACCCAAACAGCGACCCATCTGTTGAGGTGTTTCTCATCCCGTCATGGTGGAACAAGTCCGAGTCCAATCCTTGAAATAGGCAGTAAATCGGCAGTACGTGTTTTCATTTCATGTTGGTGCGCTGGAGTCGGAAAGGAGGGGAACTGAACTACTCTCATCGAGGATGGACTTGTTCCTCACCTCTGAGGCAGCCACAAGCTTTCCTCCAGCTTTCGCAAGGCGTCACCTGGAGGGAGTCATGTTGTCCCAGGAAACTGTGATCGACACACACCCAGAATTACACTGGCATAGACCCCAGACAGTGTATGTAGGGCACTTAGTCTCTTAGGACCGCCAAGCGCATCCTGAACACAAAAAAAGAGCCGCGTCCTGAGCCAAGTCTATAGAGATGCAATGCAATCGGATGGGATCAGGGCGTGGCTTCAGAATGCCAATCGGATCAGTTGGGAAAACAGGGCCTGCAGTCCACTGTTTCGCCAGGGGTTCGTGGAGAAAAAGAAAGAACAACTCTCAAAACCTGGTTCCAGAGTTTCACAGAGAACCCTCGGCAAACAGCTGCGATTGGGTGCTAAGCTTGTTCGGTCTTCCACAGCCGTCTGCTGCGCAGTCTCCTGGTGTTCCAGAGGTCGCGGTTACTTGCTGCAAAAAGCTGCAATCAGGGCCTGGTTCGAAGAGAAGCAAGAACTTGTGTTTGTGGCTTCCAGCTATCTTGGGAAAGGAGGATCCTCTAAAGCACTGATTTTGGGCTGGCATGCCACATATCCAAACAAAGGGATCCGCTTCTGCCACCGCTACCGGCGCGTTTCTTTCGTGCCCACCCCCAACCAGACCGGCTGGCCTCCGCGATTCCGCGCCACGGACCCCTCACGGTGCGGGATCCGCTGCCTCGGCGTGCGGTGCGGCGTGCGGCCCTTCGACCGGCCATGGAACTCCGGTGCCGCCCTGTGCGGAATCGGAGAACTGGAGACGGCACCTGCGGGCAGACGGACCACCTTCCCACACCGGACTTGGAAAGATGTGGAAAGATGTTATGAAAAGGGACCTTCTGGAAAGTGCTGGGGTGGTACAGTTCTTCTACTCTATCAACAGCAAAACTGCAAGACTGTTAGGATCTCACATAGGTACTGCCCTATGACCTATGCTCATGACACGTCTTGGACTGGAATGGATCTAACCCCACATGCAGCTTGTCCCACCTGGTGGAGAGGGTGTCCATCAAGCGCAGCAGAAAAATGGCACTGTCAATGCCAAGAATTTCGGAGTGAAAAAAGAACCATTTCCGACTTGAAGGGAGACTCCCCGCAAAGGGAAAGGGAGTGAAAACGACCGTCAAAGCAGCTTGCACCTGAGCTCGCTCATCGACGTTCTCCCGCCGATCCGAGAGACCAGGCGCATCTGGACTCTCTTGCAGAGCGCCTGTCGATGATGGAGAGCGCCTTCTTCCGCCAAGTTACTCAACACCGGCCGAACTCGTGGGTCCCCATCGCTGGTTCAGAGCGAATACATGTTTTGTCAATGTTTCACACAATATATCATTAATGTATGTACAAATGATGTGTGCAAAATTTCGACATCATTACACCACGTATGATACATGTAAAATCTCGTTTGATTGAAACTTGTCTGTTCTTTTTTCGGACTTCCCGATTCTCGAATCAATCCAAACTCCTTCGGCTGGTTCGGCATCTCGGCATCTCCGGTGGGTGCGGGGTCTGTGCCCATCTCTTCAGATGGGCCAGGAGCCCCGACAAAATCCAGTTTTGAACCAAGGCTATCGCTTCAGGTCGCCCACTCCTTCTCCCAACTTCACCACACCCATCCACATCACACCTCGGAAGAGCTGTTCCGCCAGCGAGAGCGGGGATGAGAGGGTGCTCGTGAAAGCACGAGCGCCGGGCGAAGAGCCTGCAGCTGTCAAAGGTGAGGCGAGGATAGGAGGCGATGCGGAGATTCGAGTTGTGAACAGAGAAAGGCAACGAACCTCCACCACACCAAAAAGGATCCATTTTACAAAGGTCATGGAACAGCGGACTTGAACATACGTTCACGACCCGCCCAGAAATTGTGACCTGCACCAACCTCAAGTCGTACATTCCAGTGTATCTTTGTCGACCTTGCCGAACTTGATTGCCACTTTCCACCCCTTTGATGCGTTTGAAGCAGGAATCTGATGTGGGAAAACCAGCGGGTACTCCAACGGTTGGTGATTGCCAACTCTTGCTAATTCCAAAAGACGGCTGAGAATCAGAGAATCTGCACCGCACAATGGGCTCCTCCGGTTTGCAAGCACGGCCCAGCTGAACTCCTCTGAGAGAGGCCCGAACGAACCCCAAATCTTCCAGCTCCTCTTCCCACCGGTCGCCAGTCTCAAGGTCGGGACGAGTCGCCACCTTTGTTTGGGGGGTTGATGAGTCCGTCCAAATCGCCAATTTGGGCGCGTGCAGCTGCAACGCGCCGTCGTGTTGACCCGGGGGGGTTCCCTCCGAGCGAGGGACCGGTGGTCTGCTTGGGCCCCCCACAAGTGTCGAGCCGGGCATCCTGAGGCACAGAAGTCATCAGACTCCCAGACCCCACCACGACCAGCAGCTGGCCCTTTCTTTGGACAGTGCGATCTGCTCAGTGTCCCGCACCCAAGAAGAAAGGTTCGTGAGTCGACGATTGGCGTTGGGCCATTGATGAGGCCTTGCCCCTGCCATCGGAACGGATCCCCCAACGCACTCATCGGGGTGTACCAAAGCACAACAAGTTGCTTGCGGCCAGTGCATCCTTGTGCACTCAAAAGATGAGGGCATTCCTCATATCATACGGGCGGTTCTAAGATAGATTTTATGATGGTTTGCGACAAGCACGGGGAGGAGACCATTTTGTCTGATCGCACGCCGCTGATCGGAACCAAGAATGAAGAGCGGACTCTCTCAAAGCTGAAGGGTTACATCTGTGTTCCTTATGCCTACAAGACCCGGTTCAGGAAGAAAACAACATCGCCATGGCTCCATGCAATATTCTACTGCAAGAAGACCGTAACATGGCTGAAAAAACCGGAAAAAAATCAGTCTTCTGCCAAGGGTCCACCCAATCTTGGAGCCATGTCACGCATGGTTTTTGCAAAAAAGGCACCAGCCACCCACACAGCCACCCACCTCCTGCGAAGTGGGCCGAAGTCGGCCAGAGAGGCGTGCATCCAGATGTCTGCGGCAGAGCATTTTGCTGCAAAGTGAAGAGAGATTGAAGAAACTTAGAAAAGAAAACAGAGTTGTTGTGTTGTTGCTTGTTTTTCTTTTTCGTGAAAACATCACGGTTTGAGACTTGACGATTTCGCGGTAGATCGGCCACACTCTAGAGATGCGTCAGTCCACAGTGTGTATCTGGTCTCTTGGCCGCCCGCCGACCATAGTTGGGAGAGGCGAGACGCCATCTCGAATAGAAGTGCGCCTTAGATCCCCTTCTCAATAGATTCGATTTCGGACTTGCCACTGAGCTCACTCAGAAGATAGTGCACCTCTGCCATGATCATGCGTTGTGGATTGACAGGTACTCCGCATTGCGTTGTGCTGCTCCAGGCCTGATCGTGCGAGAACCTCTCTCGGCCTGATCGTGCGATCACCTCTCTGGCCCGGTTCTCACCTGGCACGGAGCTCCTGCCAGAGATGGGTCACATGGGAAAACCTTTGTCGCGCGCATGTTTTCTCATGGCCTTCGTCCAAGGATCCCACCTCTCCGGCCACTCTCACGCATGGGAAGCCGTGGTGAACATGGATGGCTGAAAGCTGATGGGCGCTGACGGAGTGTGCTAGGCTGCCGATGCCCCGGCAAGGTTCCGCTGCCTTTTTTGCCAGGAGGTGGAAGACCTGCGTATTTCGCATATGTTTGAATTCTGGCGTTTGTGGCCACTAAACTCACTTTGAGTGCTGAAAGCAGAGCGGCTGCGCAATGGGTAGACTCTGATCGGCGTCGTGAAATTTAAGAACGTGGACGCTGACACTACCCTGCCAATTTTGGCGCTCATGTCCAGCATCACTGCAGCCCTACGAGCAGCATGGTTGCGTAGTGGCTGTGCAGCGCTGAAACAAACAGAAGAATTTGGAAGAGGTTCACAGGCATAAAGCCCATTGTGTTTGTTCTCTGTTTAATGATTAATGGATTTTATGATGTAGTTCATCCATGTCCTTTATGATTGTGAGACAAGATTGTAGGAAGATAGCGAGAAAATATTCACTCAAAAAACACTTCATTGGCAAGATAAGGCATAGTGATCATGGGTGGCTCTGGTCTATGTTGTGCTTTGCTTAGCATTTACCCAGTCAACAGGATGAGAAGGACAAGAACACACCGCACGCGCTGCAACAACGAGATTTCCCACGGAGCTGTGAGAGCGATAACGATTCACGCAGCCGATGGGTTTCAGGTCAAGAGTCTTGCTTTCTTTGTCACTTAGCTTATTCATTTGAATTCTGTAAGACGTGAATGGATGTGCCTTCACCTTGCTTTTATTACAAGAAAGATCTTACTAGACCGTAATTAAAAATGACAGTCCAACATGCTTTCAGCCCATTTGGCAGTCCCGATCCCAGCTGATCTCCCGTCCTCTGACTGTGGGTCATGGCACCCGGGAGTTGACCCCGGATCGAACCGATTTCCACGGAGAAGGGAGGTTTCAACTCACAGCCATGAGCCACGGGAGCAGGTGTTCCTTTTGCCTGGAGCACCCTGTCCCCGCTTGACCCACCTGCCAGGCATCGGAGAGAAGGGCGCCCCATGCCCTGGCGGGAGTCGGAGGGTCGAACGTGTTGACATGGCCTCCGCGCCCCCAAAGTCTGCCACTGAGACTGCCCAAATGATCCACCCATCTGCCTGAGGACAGTGAGGCCCACGAGGGCTCCAAAGCGACCGCCTGGCGAGGACACCGATATCGATGCCGGACAGACCGGGCTCCGGGTGTGGCCTGGAATACACGGGTGTGACTTTGAGACAAAGGTTGGGATCTTTGGCCGATCCGATGTGACAAATGGGCTAGCCAGGGGCAACATGTCGAAATGCGAAGAGATGTTTGTTGCAACTGTTGTAATTCTGTAAATTCCAAAAAACTTTGACTAAGTTCCTGTCAACATTAGAGATGTTGAACATCTCTCAAAAATGAGTTTAAGCCCATCAAGATCCTGGTGTGCGGTCAAATGGGAAGCAGTCTCTTCACTGTCAGGCAACGTGAAATCTGGAAATTATATATATATAGGCAATTGAATCGCTAACCTGAGCTGGGCATGTGCTCTAGAGTATTGGCCTCGGCCTGGGTTTCTAACGAATCCCCCGTGCACACACACAGGTAACCTGAGATGAAAACAAGGCCAACAAGGGTATGTTTGATGTATTCTGATAGATCCCAAAGAATATCAATGCACCAAGATCGAAACACTGTTCCGCACCAATTTCATTCAGGTGGACTGATTGAAATGCCTGCCCCAGGAAGATATGAAGAAGACCAATTGATCAAATACAACACCTCCCAAAGGAACCAAATGCTCGATTGGCCGAGCACCCGAAGCTCAAAACCATCTCCAACCATCTCAAAACACAACTCGCTCAACTCGGCCATTTGGGCGTGCCCCGATCCAAACGCGCCGAACGTCGTCCCCACCTCCGTCGGCATCGCCGTGGAGGCGGCGCTGGCGCCGCCCCGCGGCGTCGGTGGAGACCTTTCCTGGCGGTGGGCTTCGATGCGGCAGAAAGAACATGCTCTTGTGAAAAAAATACCAATTGTGAATAAAGCAAAGAAAGAACATGCCTTTTTCCACATGGTGTTTGTTGCATGTTTGTTTGTGCAAGAAATCACCCTTTCATGTGAGAGGCTGGCCCATCCATGTCTTGGAACCCAACCAACTGCGAGAACGGGATGACTTGCACAAGCAGAACCCGACATTTGATCACCTCAAAACTGAACCACGGGTAAAAGTAAGGATGCGGCGTAGCTGTCCAGCACCCAGCCTCTTTGAGTGGGTCAGCCGCCCAAGACATTGACGTATGTATACTGATAGAACCCAGAGAAGGCCCGCTTTCCCATCCCTTCTATCTTATCCGTCCCTTCCTTTCATTGCTTTCTCCATCCAGTCAGACACTGCCCGTCCTTGAGCAGTAAGTTCCGCAAAGCATGACTGGCCTTGGCGAGGAGCTTCGACAAAAGCTGCGATGCAGGAACACGCCAATCCAAGCATGGTAGATACCCCATCTCAGGGCTGACTCAATCCCACCAATCAGTCCTATCGATTTGAACACGAAACCACTCAGGCTGTATTGTTTGAGTCCTGAAAAAGTATATACAAAAGGTTCAAGAATGATCCACAATCAAGCTCCAAAGAAATCAAAACCCAACGTCACAAATCTTCTTGGAGCAACTCTTGGGTATGCCATTGATCCTTCCCTTCTTCTTTCGCTCGAAGCCACCACTGCCGACGCGCTTTCGGAGTGGCAGGAAGTCATTTCAAGGTCCTGGACATGGTGAAGCGGAGGAAAACCCATTGAACACCTGCTGGATGATCTACGGATCCAATTTGAAAGGACTGGGCTACAGTATCTGCTGGGCTAGCTGGGTTGCTTTAGCTCCGGTCTCCCTGGAATCATGGTTACGTGGATGGCATGGTCCCGTTGACAGCAGGACAACCCCTGACAGTTACCCAGGCTGCTCAGATCCCTCAGATCGCTGGTCGACATGTGCAGAAACCGTTTCGGATCCACTTTTCAGATCCAGTCTATCCTCCCAACATAGTGTGGTCTTTGTGTCTTTTCCATTGCAACCAACATAGATAGTTTCAGCAAACCATACCAATCCAGCATCAGCTGGTCACATCGAGTAAGGCCCAGACATGGATCGCAGGAGGATTCACAGGGCAATAGTTGTCTCTCTGGACCGCAAAACCAGAAATTGTGCCCATCGATACTCTGTCCTATTCAACTACATTGTGGATGCTCTCTCTCATTCTTCCCAAGGAAAGAACTTCACTTTCCATCCTCTCCTCAGGATCGTTCCAGGCGCCCTGCAAGCGCTTCCGGAAGACCTGGCCCGCTCGCACCACTCATTTGGGTCCCCTAGTCGGCAGGCCGGTTGATGTGCGTTATCACTGCTATGAACACCACGAACACCCATGGCCACCCCTCGATGGTGAAGCTTGCGGAAGCCTAAGCCCTGCCTTTAAAGTACCTATTGGTTTAATTGGTTTGGACTGTTACCCGGGCAGAATCCCATCACAAGAGGAACCGCCACATGCGAACCACCTGCAGGATTCCAGGGCCGTGCTGAAGCTTCCAAAGTTCTAGCATGAGTCGGTGATTCTGAAACGACATTCATCTCCCAGGGGAAAAAAGGAACAACTGCTGCTAAGGGTTCCAATGACCATCTCTTTGTCGTCTAGGCTGGATTTGGCCCCAAAATGACACTATCGCAACCCACAAGTATCTATATAGACATTCGATGAAAAGACTTGAAAAAGGGCATCTTCAAAGTGCAATCGAAATCGCAAAAAAGAGACAAGAAGAAACATGTCTTCCATTGGGCTTTCTCGGCCAATTTATGATGAAACCACCAAGGGTTGACCCGTTGAGTCTCCACCACCGCCCGTCTCCGACGTCGTCACCTCCCAGTTGAGCCAACCAGCGGTCCCCTTGGCCAGCACACTGAAGAGCTCACGGGCCTGGCGAGCGATCCCGGAGCCGAACGTGCCGTGAAATCGGGTCCACGCGAGGTCTGGGTGCCTTGGGGGTCCCAACTAAGGGGACTCAAAAAACAAAGGACATCCAGGTGTTGGGCCACCTGAAGAGTTGGAATGCACTTGAAAGGCACAACGAAAACTCACTCTGTGGCAGAGAACCTTGGTTGGTTGACTTCTCCTCAACTGGATGCGAACACACAACAGAACTGGGGGATAAACAATCACAAAATCTCTGGCTCTTTTGCAGCTTGTTCCTTGCAAAATCCTGCTGGTACCTGCAATTGAAGACCTGCCACCAGGCGCGGGGGTTAGGGTTTAGGGTGGCCATCCTCCACAAACCCCTGCCCCGAAGGGACGACGCGCACCCGCGTCTTTCACGTGGCCTCCTGAAGCTGGCAGTACCGCTCCTGACCACTGATCACCTCCTGAAACTCTAAGCAACTCACCTGGCCAACCCTCGGTGTCCCAGAACGCCCGAGACACCGACCGGCGCGGAACGAGCTGCACAAGCTCCCTGGTCGTGTCTCACACGGGGAACGAGCTCGACCCCGATGGCGGGGGGAAACAGAGTGCACACCATCGGATGGTTGGATGTTTGAGTTGGGGACCCCAACTGAATAGCTGCACACTTGTTGGCAAAGCTTCTGGAGGGACAGAAGCAAATGCGTCGAGAATCTCGAACAAAAATAGGAGTCCAACACTCTGGACGCCCTAAGCGTCGGCGTCGTGTTCTGGTCACCTTGGACGACCAAGACGAAATAGGGGGTGAAAGGGTCGGTAATCCAAACCATCAGCTTACCACGACGAAACCAGATTGAGCACATTCTTTACTCAGGTGTGTAGGGGCTGCCTGTCAGAACAGGCAGAGTTCGGGAATCTACACCCTGGAAAATTAAAAGGAACCTGAAAACCACTGGAGATGCAAACAGTCTGCCAAAGGTCCATTTTTAGTAGGTTCTTTGTCACTTTGACAAGACAAAACTGCTGCTCCAAACAATCACTTGGATCTCCCATCCACCCACAACCCGCGGACCAGCTCCCACGCTCGGGTGCCACGAGGTTTGCTATGTACCCATATATTGAGCACAACATCTCGCAAAGAAAATATCACACATGCAAAAACCTCACAAAACCCATTCTGGTTTAAGACACAGACGCTTCAGGATTGAATTTCGAATTTAACCACGCCCGCTCTGAGCGTATCAAGTGATACTCTCTTGCGAAGACATGTTTTAGCTCGTTGACTGTGGTGCATCATGCGGCAACACTGGCATTTCAAGGCGAACATGGTGCGGGTATGACTGGTTGGGAAGCATGTATAATCAATCAAGACTTGCACAAAACAAGAATTGTTTGGTAGGGTTGGAGGAGATGAGACACCACCAACTAAGCTTTTGTGTGGTTGCCGAGACGGATTAACGAAGAGGCACCAAAGACCGGATCACAGCACGACTGTGTGGAGTCGCGCTTCCACTTGCGCATCCAAGCCTCGCCGACTTATGGATACGAGCTTCCTCTGAAACGAAAAAGTGTAGGTCGTTTATCCGACTTATGGTATACCCACACTGGCTGTGCATAGACGGTGAAGACCATATACTGTAAATATGTATGCCAAAGCTAATTCATACCACGTAATACCACAGTCACCTATCACCAGCATTCTAGGTGGACAATTGCGTCTGGAACTGGAAATGTCATCGTCAGTAAAATTAATATACTTATGAATCTCCGCTTCATGTTGTTCACGTTCAATGTTCAATTTAGAGTACAAGGCATTAAGTTCTGCCAAATATGCATAGACTTTGAGTAAATAGGCTATTTGGTTGTCCATGGCGCAAAATCTGATCAGCCGCCTCCAAAAGTGGTTCCATGTCCCTTTTGTTCACAAGTTTGGCGGTCTCATCCGCCGCAGTATTTCCTAATATCACATACAAATCCTGGACATCCTGGGCATCGCCAAGTTTTCGGTGCGACTTAACTGTAAATGCCTGATGATACAACAGATTCCATCTTGTTCTTAGACCTTCAACCAAATCTGCATGGGCCGCCTGGAAAGTCCCTGTGGACAAAGCTTAAATATGTTGCACAAAACTGGAGTCTGTGTGAATCGACATGTATCCCTCTCGTTTATTCTTATGGCTTATGGAAATCATCAACCAACCACGCCACGGATTCGAGCCCACCATGATTCATCGATTGAAAGCTACGAGTGTGGCAAGTCTGAGTCACCACAAAGTGATTAAGGGATGGATCTTTGGAATTCACTTTCATCTGCTGGACAATTGCCGATGCCGCACGGCAACAATTCTGGTCTTTTGGATGATCACATGTGCCATATGCATTTAAAAATATTGTTAACATGCTGTGAGGCTGGGACGATAGTAGACGATAGTAGGGTGATCTAAGAACGGCCCTTGGCGACAATGTTAAAGATGATTATTGGATTATAGACAATTTGTTGCCTGTAGACAAAGGAAGCCACACTACATTATGAAGCAGACCAGAGGAACTCACCCAAAATAGTAACCGCATCGGGATGGTTTTGACGAACATGCAAGAGACTTGGGCACTCTAAGAGGGGATGTGCATGTGTATCCATCTGACCACAAAAAGAACAAGACGGATCTTGACTGCTATCCCAAATTGCTTTAACAGCTCCTGTCTGATAACCTCCCGTTAGATGAAGTGCGATCAACTTTAAGGTGTAATCTGACAGTTTGCGGTGAATTTTGTGTTGAATGTAAACATCAAAAGGTTCCGATGTCACCCCTTTGCGGTGACTAATCTGACAATGTACATATATAGTGGGACCATGCCAAACGCGAAATGACATGAATGTCCTTGGTGTTCGGCCAAAACCGCGTCAACGACATGCCCGGACGACGTGCCCATCGCGGTGGAAGTCCATACCTGGGCAGTTCGGGATCAGCGACCCTGAGACCTCTGCTTTGAAGCGCCGTCCAATACAGAACCTACCTAGGACCTAGTAGTACCTAGCGCTTCCCATCCTAAAAGCATGGTCCAGCCAGGTGACCAGAGGCAGCTGGTACCTCCGTTTTTCGGGACCCAAAACGCGCCCAATCGGACCTCCCAAAGCCACCGGCGTCGACCGTCGGGCGGAACGGGGGCATCGAAACCGTTCTCCTCCGTGCCTCGCGAGGGACCGAACGGATCGGACGCTTTGTCGGACTCCCGAGTGGAAGACAACATGATTTTCAGACCTTGAAGTGAATCTGCTTGGTGAGTCCCATGACCCCACGGAAGAGACGGGAGATCCCAAAACCAGCCGCATCTGTTCATCCAAACAGCGGTGCTCAGTGGACCTACTCTCCACTGTCACCGCCGAACACTTCTAGCTGCCAAATCGTAAGCTTCTCTGACAAAACGTCGGCCGCCATCGGACGGACCAAGTGAGAAAGGACTCCTTGTCAGCCACCGTCATTTTGGGCAAACTCTATCAAACTGGATTCAAAAAGCCGGAAGCAATCCCGCCACATGTCACGGGGTGATAATGAATGCCCCTCGAGATCCAAAGATGCACCCTTTACAACCATGAACCCTTTGCCCTCCTGCGAGCAACCCTGAGATCTCCTCTCTGCCCAAGCTGCGCTCGAAGGCTGCTCGCAGACTACCAAAGCGCTCCACGCAAAAAATCCTCACCGCGCTTCCGCGAGGTACTTCTTTCTATCTATTTTTTTGTTTGGGAAGAACTATGACCTGAAAGTTCTCCGAAGTGGCTCTTTCTTGTGATCCCCAATTGGGTCATCAACCTTTTCGTCGTACCAGTCTTTGGCGAGTTTCCCATACTTCTTATAATTGTTGGCCAAACCCCTTCACCTTCAAAAGAAAAGAACCTTGCTTCATGAGAAGCTCCATCTGAATCTGGCCCCCTTTTGGGGGTCATCAGTGATGGCAGACTCTGCTCTCATGAACCAAGATTGGCGATTCGTAGCTACAGTCACTTGTGTGTATGTGTGTCGGCGCCGAGACTGACTCTGACTCTTGAAGACCACATCATCGACCTCCCACGAACAGCGTGTTGTACTGTGTAGAGGTGGAACGGTTGTTACCCGGTGTCGTAACTGTTCTGGGCGTTTTGGTGCCCAAAACAGTCGAAGTCAGGTCAATCCAGAGTGGACTCCCATTCTGGTTGAATGCTGGAAATGAACCATTTTCTCTAAATGAGGTCAACCATGGGTCTTGCAAAGGGATGTTCTGGAACAAGTCCAACAGCAATCTCAGCAGGTTTGCACACCACGTAAAACGCGTTCGTTTTCTTGTGGTCCTTAGACCAGCCAATGCCACACCATCGCCTCGAGGCGATCCAACGGATCTTGGTGCGACTGATGTGGGAATGCTGGGGAGATACCGGAATTCCCCCCTTCGACAAGCGTGCATAGGCGCCAAGCTAATTTGGGGTTGCTCTTATAAATGAAACATGCGATTTGCCCTTGAGCCATGACAAGTTTGGCCGATCCAGAAATGGTGTCCATGGTACCCAGGGGACTGGTCTGTGTAGCTATGCTTGTCTCGAAAAACGGTCTCCATGTGGACTCCATGCTTTTATGTATGGATATCTATATGGAATAGTTATCCTACTTAAATTGCGTCCCATGTGCGCCAGTTTCCCTACAGGTGCGCAAACCAATTCCTATAGGGTGCAAAAATTCACCCTTTTCAGAGAAGTCAAAAACCAGCCCCATTGGATTGTCTGGGCTTTGGTGTCTGACAGTGCCAGCCTCACAAAAGTCCAAGCTGGTGGTGCTTGTGAAGCTGTTTGGCATGTGGTTCTCTTTCACCCGCAATGGATACAACCCAACGTTCTCCGCACTAGTTAAGGTTCACAGGGAATTGACGGACTGGAGTTTCTGAAAGGATCTGTCATGCTTGTAGTTCGGCACAAAGAAAGGCCATCTCCATGGCCTCCCCACCTGTCTGACCCTCAAAGAACATAGCCAGCATTGCGAAAGGGTCACCTTCTTCGGAGCCAACATCAGATCGAACCCCTTCGTCGGACCCTTCGTCCGCTGAGACTCTGGTCGAGATGTCGAGGTGAAGGTGAAGCGGCTGTTCCTCCCTTTCTGCAGATGCTCAACTGGAGTGTCTGCAGGGAGGGTAGACCTAACTTGGGCAGAACGACTCGACTCAACCCGCCTTTACACCGTTGAGGAGTACTGAAACACAGTGCCTGCGAGGCACAGGAGGTTGGCACATTCTGGAAGGATGTGAAACAAAGTAAACCCGAAGACAACCCGGTCCTAGTTAGTGAAACCCAAACAAACCGAAGAAATGCAGAGGAGAAACAAAACCAGTACCGGTGACCCCAGAAACAAAAAGGCAGGACCTCCATCTGTCCCCTATTTTGGTTTCCCGTTTTTCACGTTGTCCACAAGGTGTCGATGTTGATTGGGTTGACTTTAGGTCATATTGAATTCTGTGCTCCCGCGTTTCTGGATGAAGATCGAGCCAGCACTATCTAAGCTGGCAATGCTCTGCAAAGCACCGCAAGGACCCCATCGGCACCTCGGCACCCGTCGGTGAAGCCACCGAAGCCTGTCAAAAAGAGACCCCAACCGGCTCGCCTCGCCCTGCCGCGGGCCTGACCTGTGAGAGACCGTGGAGGACCTGAAATGGAATCGAAAACCATCATGCTTCTTGTTTCTATTAGCTTCTGGTTACTACTAGTAAGGCACCTGTTACTACTAGTAAGGCACTTGTTTCTATTAGCTTCTGGTTACTACTAGTAAGGCACCTGTTACTACTAGTAAGGCACTTGTTTCTAATAGCTTTTTTTACCCCCCAAACAAATGGCGCGACTTACTATGTCCAAGCAAATGGATCGTTGGTTTTGGGGTCAGCCTTCGGACCTGCAGATCTCCTTTCGATCAAAATGGGTCCACTGGAGCCTTTTGGAAGAACCACATCTGGAGGCTGGGGCCTAAAACGATTTCAAAAGGGATTACAACCCTGCATGTCAGCCTACTTTGGGGGGAACCCAAACCATGCAAGGCACTTGTCCAAAACCTGAACATGAACCAGGATGCATTTGATTTAGCTCCAAAATATGGAGGACGCTCCCAACATCTGCCTGTATGGTGTGTCCCACGCTCGCACCCTGATTGCACTGGTGAAATGGAGCGGATCTGCTTCCATCTGCTCCCTGGATCCAATTTCCAATCCGTGGTGCTGATTTGGCAAAGCCACTGTGGAACGGCAAATCGGATCGACTCCTCTTACAAAGCCAGCTGATGATTTATGTGCATCCCTCTACTCAGCAAGCCTCTGCTTGGCCGGCCCATTTGCCCCACCTCCTCACAGGTGTGCGCGCAGGTGACGCAGAAGGGGCGGCCATGCCTGAGCGTCAAACATGTTGATCCTCAAAAACATTCCAAACGTGTCAGGATAAACATCCCCAACATACCAGCACCTTCCATTAAGGGTCTCCAATGGAAGCCCGTGCACTACTTAGTGGATCTCCATTACCCCTTTGAAGGTCAAAGTTCTGTAGTTTTGGCTTCCTTGCGTTTTACACACAGATCGGGCAACCCCATCACATCGAAGAAACACCGCTTCACTGTCGACCACGAACGGTGGATGCTCAAGTGGACTCACTAGCCCAACCTTTCCTCTGCGAACCAATGGTGATTGGGTTTCCGAGGAAAATAAAAGCACATGTGACCTCGAGCTCTTCCTGGGCGCTCTGGGAACTACACGACCCTAATTGATACCCCAAAACCACACTTCTGCCAGGGACCAACCTACCACAGCCGTGGCCGTGTCTTTCGGAAACCGCTCAGTTGGCAAGGCAACGCTCAGTTTAATGAGACTTGGCCTGCTCGGCACAATCTCCAAACGGACCAGACCTCTTCCTGCAGCTCCTAACACTCTTTGGACTTTTTCAAGTAAGTCTTCGTGCAGGCCTCCCACCTCTCCACCAATCAGCTGACACCCAAGCCAAGTCCAAATTCCAATGGGGCAATCAATGGGGCAATAACAACCAAGGCCGGTCCCTGCCACCACTCACCCGCCCCACTACCCGCAAGGCACGCGCAAGTGGCTGCATTTTCTCCTCCGTTGGAAGAGTGGCACAGCCGAGACTTGACTTGCTATGGGTTCAAACAAATCAAATGCTGACACTAGCGATCCGACCCAATGATCCAACCAACATAGCAGGCAAAGTGACACCTAAAACGCCTCAGGAAAAAAACCTGTGTATATATATATATATATATACACACCAAAACATCTTGGAGCTCTCCGTATGCCGCGGACACGATTCTAAGCATGTGTTTAATGTTCTTTTGAACATGAACCTTTGGGATCCCTTTTTGGTTGGATCGTTTTTCGCTGCCAAATCAAGATTCCTGAAGCCAATGCTGAATGTTGATATGCTGTTTCGTTCATATGATGCTGGCCGCTGGCCTTTCGAATCTTGTTGTCTGCCAAAAGCAAGCTGATCCCTAGTATTGCCCAAACCTGATCAACTGGCATGAAAGTTTTTTCGGGCCCACCGTCCACTCCTTGCATCCTTAAATTTGTAGACAACCAGGAAACAGGATCGGTGGTGACATGAAAAGGTTGAGTTGGAAACTGTGCATCCATGAAAAAAACCCTGAAAAAGGGGCAGGAAACTGCCTCTTTGGTTGGAAGGCCATTCTAAGACACCTTTTGGTCATCCAAGAGCATCCACACCACACAAAGACCAATGTTGCCTCGAAGACCGGCTCATGGCGTTCTGGTCTTGCAAGAGACATCGAAATGGGCAAAGTGTTGCATGTGTCTGTTGTGATGACCTTTGCACGGCGAAGAAACATGTTCCTCTAAACCATGGTGAATTTTTCTGTGCCTTTGTGACTTCGAATTGATTTCCTGATTTGTCACGCCCTTTGAACATGAATGGTCCGTTGCTCAGCTGTGCGCTTCTTGTTTTGCAAATTTGGCGTTCTATGTGCGTTCATTCTAAAGATTGATTGGGCGTTTGCCACTTGAACTGCACACACGAAGATATTCTCAAGTCCCAGCCGTAGCCTGTCTGAATCAATTCCATGTTTGGAAAGCACGGATGAAAATTCAATTCAGCGGAAAATTTCAAGTCATAAAACTAAACCTAGCAAAATTAAGACTTACCTGAAACCATTTTTGATCAAGGGGTGAAACAAAACAACATCCAAAAACACAACACTATCCCGGCAAGAGACCCCAAACAGTGTGTGCGTGTGAGGTCTAGAACTGTAGTAGGGTGAGTGAGAGTGAGTGAGAGTGAGAGTGGGAGTGTGAGAGTGAGAGAGTGATAGAGTGAGAGGGTGATAGAGTGAGAGGGTGAGAGAGTGAGAGGGTGAGAGAATGAGAGAGTGAGAGAGTGAGAGTGCGTGCGCGCGCGCGTGCGCGTGCGAGCGCAAACAATCCATTTATAAAAATACTGCTGCCACCAAGATCATATAGTATTTCATTTCTATATTGTTGTCGCACCTTTCATTTTCTCTAGTAAAATTCATGAGGCTACGACAATAATAATAGAAAATTGTGACAACCCCCAAATAATATGAGCACTACCCTCATATAAGCGTCTATTGGCAGGGACAGATAATAAGTGATATAAAATAAATGGCAATTGGCTATTGAAAATTCTAGCAGTAATTACATAAAGAAACCATTTATAAATGCACTGGTGCACAGCAAACAGCGGCGACGGACCATGAAGCTACTTTTCTCCTGAATGCTAGAAACCCTTGTGCCTCAATGGGCGGTGCGACAACAAACCATGTCTTGCATGGATATGGCAACAAAAGCTTGCGAAGGCGAAAGGGGTGCTTTCACACGCGTTTTAATCTCCCGACTTTTCGGAAGCCCTTCGCATACCCTCACGAAGACGGAAATTAAGAACTGCCCGCCTCACCGTCTGCCACCAATCCTCAGGCTTGAGGCGTCAGCCATCTGTTTGCCCGTCGGGAGCCAATGCAGCGGTGGCCACTGATGCCTCCTCAACCGTGAAGTGAAGCTCTCCGTCCCACCTCACAGGCAGGTGACACGGAATGGCCTTGTCGCCACAATCCGACACACAAAGGGCAGGATGCCCTGATGGGCTTGTCCACAATTTCACCTTCTGGAGGTGTAAAGCATGAAGGTCCACCTCTTCAGTGGCCAAATCACAACACATGCCAAGATCTGCCAAAACCGGCCTGCTAAAAAGCAATGGCACGGAGCAGGGCACAATCGATGTGTCAACTTGGAAAAAGTCGGCCGTGGATGGCGAACCATGCCCATGTGAAACAGTCTAGGATGGTATTTGCTGTACACTTTTGTACATGGCTGGCAGGGCTTACCTGAAGTGGGACAGAGAGGCTCAGCAAGGGTACTCAATACCGTGCCTCCTGTCTGTCATATCCGTCGGAGTTTTTCCAATCACGAGGGAGGAGGTTGATCCAGTTCGGAATTTCAAAGCAAGAGCACAAATCAAAGGAATTGTTTTCTGCATAAGGTCCTCTCCAAGTTGTTCTTTTGCCTGGCTTGAGTTTAAAAAGTGCCAGCTGACCGCAGTCCAGGAAAGCCTTGTGGGCGATATATCGCAGTGTGGGCGGGATGTCCACTTCTTTAAGAGCTCCACAGAACATGAAGGCTTCTCTGTGAATTTGCTGCAGTGTGGCCGGAAGCCAAATGCGCTGAAGACTTACACAATGTGAGAAAGTGTATGCGTGCTGGAAAGGTCGACAAAGGCAAGCAATTTGCAGTGTTCACAGGCTAGAGACCCTAGGAAGTTAACTTCCGACGGGAGTTTGAGGCAATGAAGTCCCGATGAGCTGAAACATCCTTGCGGCACTCGCGATCCTTCAAGGCCTTTGGTTTCCTTGCATTTACATTAGCATTCGAACGCCTTGTCTTTTGTGTCACTCGGAGCCAGGGACACACCAATCTCCGGCCCAATGACACACGCGCATATTCCCCGGGAAAACAAAACTGGTTCTCCAACCGAGGTCCTCTACCCAAACCTACAACCAAGAACCAAACAACATCCAACAGACTTACACAAAGCCAACCTTTTCACGTTCACCCAAACCAACAAACGACAAGCAACCGACCAACCAAAACACTGGGCGTTGTTGTCGACGCAAGCGAAATCTTGTCCATTGGCGGCCCCAAAATCAAGGACCAAAAACGCAATCAACTGGGGAGGCCCTCCATGGCGAGACCAGTTTTGCTAGGGATTTTGGACCCCAAAATGAAGGCCGCAAATTCCGCGGAAAACCGCAATTCATCTTTGGATACGTCAATGGCCAAACCCACGCCCAAGCATTTGTTAAGAATGGTTGAGCGCGAAGTACACTTGGAATGCCTTGGCGCAAGTGTGGAGCGCCCCGTTTGAAGAAGCGCCGGGACTACAATGTTAAGGTTGCGTTTCGTGGCTTTCTGTTGGTCTTTGTGTTTTCTTGGAAGTTCCTCACTCCGATCCAATTAAAACTTTGTAAAAGGCAAACGGGGTGTCGGTACCGAGCATTGTAATAGAGGGCCCGAGCGGTACCGAAGCGGTACCGAGGCGGTACCGCGCATTGTAATGGAGGGCCCGAGCGGTACCGAGGCGGTACCGCGCATTGTATGGAGGGCCCGAGCGGTACCGAGGCGGTACCGCGCATTGTAATAGAGGGCCCGAGCGGTACCGAGGCGGTACCACGCATTGTAATAAGGGGCCCGAGCGGTACCGAGGCGGTACCGCGCATTGTAATAAAGGGCCCGAGCGGTACCGAGGCGGTACCGCGCATTGTAATAGAGGGCCCGAGCGGTACCGAGGCGGTACCGGGCATTGTAATAAAGGGCCCGAGCCGTAATGAAGTGGTACCGAGGTGGTACCACGCGCTGTAATAGACGGTCCGACCCAACCCAGATTGTAACCGCAAAAACCCTTTATAGTAACATAGTACGTTGCAAGGGAAATTTGAACGTTGACGCTAAGATGGAACCGGGACCCCGGCGGAAGCCTGGCGTAGCTTGCAACAAACATGAAGGACGCGAGCTCAAAACCCCAACAACATCTTTTCAAAACCCCATCCTTCACAACATGCATCAAACACTGACAACGACGTCAAATAGAACGAAACAAGGTTTCCTTGCCATCGGGAACGACCAGAGATGGCTCCTATAAACATACGCAAACATGACAGGCTCCACGGCGCCAAACCTTCGCTTAACATCTCCCCACCCTTCTTTCCTCTCATCTAAAATTAAGACAGACCACAAAATACGAAGAATGGGTTCACAACGTTTGGTCTCAGGGCACTAGGTCGACTCACGGCGGATGTCCACCACAAGCTTTGTAGCAAACAAGTGACCATTGATCCGTAAGCTTGATTGCTTTCGATCAAGAACATCATACAGGCCAAACGCTTTCTCCCCAGCAATTCTCAACTCTCACAAGTTTTTCAAACTTTTTGCTCCTTCAAGGGATCGAAAAAAGAATTTTTCCTTCAATCGTCGTGGATGTCAGTGACCGGCTCGGCCATTCTCGGGGACAGTTCTTTGGCGCCCGTAATGCTGGAGTCAGCATCGAATTCGTCTGCGTCCGGCTGCGGGAGAAGCTGCCTCGCTTTGGTGATGTCAGACCACACCGGCACCTCGATGCGGGCATTTTTTTTTGCACGAGTCGAGGCGCTGTGTGTGCAGGTTGTGCACAAGTCACCTTCAGCTAGTAAAAGAAAGAGATACGAACCAAGCAACAACCGAGAAGGACCAAACAACACCCAAAACCCAAAACAAACCCAACCAGAAAAGGAGGCAAGGTTCGTACCTCAAGAAGGCTGAGACAGCCGAAGAAGCGGTGAGACAGAGTGAAACTAGGGGCGATGAATTAAACCTTGGCACTCAGTACATGGCCTTCCTGTCTTTTCTTGTTTTCTTTTACGACATGCACCCAGAGCTCGAATTCTTGTGGGTGTTGATGCAAAAACAGGCAGGTTGCATGGCCGTATACCCTGTTCTCAAAAGAGTGGCGAAGCTTTCACCGATGGCAGGTGCGATTGCAGCCAGCACGACGGCCAATCAAATGTACTACTTCCGCACCATTCACAAACTTTCAGCAGTACACACACATCGCATGTAAGGGAAGCAATCCCGGCTCAGGGAAAACAACCGTATCGGCAATCGAAGACTGCAAATCGTCGAGAGCTTGAAACAGTGGAGCCACGCCGACGTTATACTGATCGGCTGAAATAACTGGGGGCAGCAAACTGGGACAGGGAACTGGGGGCAGGGAACTGGGACAGGGAACTGGGGGCAGGGAACTGGGGCAGGGAAATGGGGGGGAGGGAACTGGGGCAGCAAACTGGGGACAGGGAACTTGGGACAGGGAACTGGGGACAGGGAACTGGGGGGAGGGAACTGGGGCAGGGAACTGGGGACAGGGAACTGGGGGCAGCAAACTGGGGACAGGGAACTTGGGACAGGGAACTGCGGACAGGGAACTGGGGGCAGGGAACTGGGGCAGGGAACTGGGGGGCAGGGAACTGGGGGCAGCAGTCCTATGACGTTCTGCAGGTCTACCACACACTCCCCCCCCCCACGAGGGAGGCGGGAGTGCCCAGGCCCACTATCCAATTGCAACGATGACTCGAGAACAGCTTTGCCACCAGAGTCATAGAAAGGCAATGAGAGACAATGAAAGACACTGATAATCAAGTATGTGGAAAGGCTCTCAAGGAGCCATGTAGGACTGTTGAGAGGCGCACAGGCATGTGTTGCGATCAAACAGGCGCCTTGCGATTGCGCTGCCGTATTCTATCATGCGGATGCATGAGCGCGCA